CTCTTCGCAAATAGTTAAGGATGTGGGCTGTTCTAGTTTTAGGGAAATGCGAAGTTTAGCTCAGGATAGGAAAGAGTGGAGGTACGTGTCCAATCAGTCTTAGGACTGATGACCTTATGATGATGATGAGGTTAAGAAAATTATTATATCGTCCGTCATATTTTTCCCTAACAACACTATTGTGTCATCAAGAAGGCAGCCAATTTATTTACAGAGAATGGATAAAATTTATTCATGTTTCTCCAATACCATTTTGGCTGTATCATAAGCGGAAATATGGCCTTAATCTAATTCTCGTCATTTTTATGTGAAACACGGCTAAAACACGCATCAGACGCTTTTTTTATTTCATAATAAAGTAAGTACAATATTTATCAATCTAATTCAACACAATAAAAGTGATTTGAAGTTATTTTATTGATAGTTGTATGTAGTTTTTACTTTTTTATCGCTTTGTTAATGTTAGGTGTCCAAGTAGAACTAACAATAAGACAAAATTTTTGAAATAAAGACATATCGTTTACAGCTTGTTGTACTATTATTATTTATTTTTTACGTGTTACAGCCAAAGTAAAATTAATCTGGATTTTATTGATACAATGTAGCGGTCATGCATAAGATTTACCATCAGACAAAGTGATGATAGGGTTGTTTCTTCTCCTTCTTCATCGGCGAAGGAGACGACGAAAAGTCCTTCGCTGCATCTGTACTAACAGTGAGTCTAAAGTCTGTCTATTTCTAAGTGACAACAATAGCAATAAAACTTTGAAAAGATTTATTGGCTTCTATGGTCGAATGACTGGCATCATAAACAGTACAGTCCAAACTTTATTTAGTGACAATATTAAGGGACAATAATCCTTACTGCGTCTAATTTTACAGCTTTGGAAGCACCGTTGTTAAGGCTTTATTTATGGTACAAGTGGTTAACAGAGAAGAAAAAGTGTTTCGTTTATGTGATGTCATAATAGACAAAGGTAGTCATTTTGGTAAAGGTCTAGATGATGGCCCCACCCCCTTCGGGGGGATCGAAAGAGGAGGTCTCCCCCACCACTGTACCATAAAAAGTTCGTGGCGGTCTCACCCCCATAAAAAGTTATCGGGGTTCAAAGTTAATAAATATGCCAATTTTTATACATTTCTGGGCATGTAAATATTTATATAGTCATTCTTAAACAATATTCAAAGGTAAAACTAATGAAAAATACATAAAAATATTGAGAAAGTTATANTAAATATGCCAATTTTTATACATTTCTAGGCATGCAAATATTTATATAGTCATTCTTAAACAATATTCAAAGGTAAAACTAATGAAAAATACATAAAAATATTGAGAAAGTTATATAAAACATTATTTAAATATCTTTATCAATAGGGTAGGTAAGGTTAGGTTAGGTTAGGTTATCGGGTTTTGTTTAAGTGACCACCCTCTTTCGATCCCCCACCTCCACCCGCTTGAAATTAATTTTTAAATTGAATTTTATTTGAATTATGGTGTATGAAAATTGTCAAAATAATCAACTTTCAACCCCCATAATTTTTTATGGTGAGACCGCCACAAATTTTTTATGGGGTTTTAGTCAGGTGACACCCTCTTTCGATCCCCCTACTTTTTATGGGGGTGATACCGCCACGAACTTTTTATGGTACACTGGTGGGGGAGACCTCCCCTTTCGATCCCACTCACCCCCACCCCCTTCGGGGTTGGGGGCCATCATCTAGACATTTACCGTCAAATTTATTGCTTTAGTAAAACATTACACTGAAGGAGGACAAACAATCCTACACCATGGTCTCCATGCCCGAATATGGAGCATATTTTTGATAGTCTCGACCGTAAAAGCCTTTTATCTAATGAGACGTAGATGAACTATTCAGAAAAGTCAAGAAAAAGTTACGAATATAATCGAATGAAGTAAAAAAAGAAGGACATTACCTACCAAAACCACTAAAAATGAAAAAACTTACAGCAACCCTTAAACCAGTTTTAGTTATCCTAGGTTTTTTCATTTCTCCTGAATAACGACTTCCTTTTTTAACTTCATTCGACGTTCGATTGTATTTCTTATAATTATGTTTATTACTTTAACCAACTGCAACTAGCTATTATGAATAATATCTAGATAAAATAATTAATTTATCAAATTATCTGCACAAGCCTATCAATATACCTGCATCTAGCCATTATGCATAATCGCACCTTGTCCGCACCATATACACAAAGCGGAAATGTTTCTAAAGTGATTCCATCCACAGGTGTTATGCTGTCAACAACTTATCGTTTCCGTTCGACTAAATATTTTCAGTTATTTTTATTATGTTTAACAGTGTGATAACAATTTTTTTAACACTAAATTATTAGATACGTATTAAATACTAAATACTTACTACTGTAGTTAAATTTTCTAATAAACCCTTACATATTTCAACAAAAACGTTTTTCTTTCCTGCATG